ACATACACTTCTATGCCGGGTGTGCCAGAACCCCCAAACCCCACAATGAGAGCTGATTATTACATTTTCATTGCGAGCATGCACACCTCAGAAATCAGCAAACACTATAACCTGCAGCTTCATTTGTTATTTTGTTGATGGCTGGATTTAAGATAATGCAGATGAAACTTAAAAGAGCCATTTGTTAAACATTTACCAGGGTACCCCTCCTTCTTCTAGATGAAGCAACAAACATTTACTGCATTAAGTAATTACTACATGCCAGGCACTGTGCTAAACAGCTGGGGCTACAAATACAAAGAAAAAGACAGTCCCTGACTTAAAGGAGCTCACATTCTAATGGCGGAAGACACACAAGGACGTTAGAAAAGGGGGGAGCAGAAATTATGTTGACGTCCAGAAAGCCAGAAACACAGGCAAGAAGGGAATGAAGGGTGGCCAGCCTGGGCCTCTCCCCCAAATGGAGGCCCCAGAAGGAACCCACCAATGGGAGAACGGGACCGACATAGCAGAGGGACATTCCAGGGCAGATGAGGCATGATATCCAAGTCTGCTAAAGCAGAGGCACAGCCAGGGAGGAGGATGAAGATTGGTCTAGGTGGTTCATAGCCCCAACTTCTTTCATCATTAGCAATCAGAACATGGTTGGTGCCCCCCAAGATCCTCTGGGGCACACACTCAAACTGGGAAAAACCAGATGAAAGCAGTCTTTCCCTTGTCTTCCTTGGACATAGAGAACTGGCAGTACTCATTACATAAGTCCGAGATGCAAAAGGACTGGCTGCCTAGTGGACAGTCCAGGGTATCTCGTACCTGTGATATAGTATTTGCTCCTTTTGTTCAAATTTTGACAATCTGCACATATCCATAACTTTCTGTTCATTCTCTGGCACCACCACAATGGGAGATGCCTAAGGGCTGCTAGATTCTGTGATTATGTCATTGACCAGCATATTTTTTTGAGACGGTTTCTGTGGTTTTCCATGAGAGACAGAAGCTTCTAGATCTTTCTCTGAGTGGTTGGGAGTCAGTAAGCTGGATTCTATGGGGCACACCTTGATCACATCCTGATTGTGCAATGAGTTTCAGGCTCGACCTACTCTTCCACTCATTTGGTCCTAGGAAATTCCCAAATACATCGAGATCCAGTTTCAAGGTTGAAAAGTTAGAATGCTCATGATGTCCCCTGATGGCTCTTACCTCTGTCCCTTTGTAAGCATCTGAATGGTCAGCATGGATGACAATTTGTGAAGAAGTTGGTGCCAGCTTACTGCATGAAAACTCCAAAAAGCCTAGTATGAGTTTTAATCAGTGCTGATACCCTAGTGAGCATTAGAGGCTCTGGACATATCAGAGCCACAGTGCCCACTTTCCTGCCAACACTAACAACCGCCTTGGGAAATCTCAAACTCACCTTAATGCACATAGAAAGGCTTTTGCATTCAACCCACCAAGTCCAAGCCTTGTCATAAGTTTTGAAGGATTTTTTCCCCCCAAAAGTGTCAAAAGAGATTGGAAAGTGAGGTTAACTTTTTTTTTTGCTTGTGAGGCAATCGGGGTTAAGTGACTTGCTCAAGGTCACATAGCTATTAAGTGTCAAGTGTCTGAAGTCACATTTGAACTCAGGTCCTCCTGACTCCAAGGCCAGAGTTCTATCCACTGCACCACCTAGCTGTCCCAAGTGAGCTTAACTTGAGATTTACTATCCAGGACAATATAGTCCACATTCACAATTTTTACCATTGCTTCTGCACGAAGTCTTATGAGTTCAGGTGGAATAGGCCATAAGGAATTGATGAGGACATCAATGTGACTCTTCTCATGGACCAAAGAGAGCTCCTTCCCTGGCCATGCCTCAGTTTCTTGAAGCAGGAAAAGAAGACAGCAGGTTTTGTACAATCAATTCAACATTTCTGGCACTAGTATACTCAATAGTTGAATGGAGGATGAATTGGAGTGGAAAGAGACTTGAGGCAAGCAGATTCACCAGCAGGCTATTGCAACAGTCCAGGTGTGAGATGAGGATAACCTTCACCAGGGTAGAGCAGCATCAGAAGAGAGAAGGGGGTGTATTTTAGAGATGTTGCAAAGGTGATATCAACATATCTTGGCAACAGGTTGGAATAGGGAAGGGGGTGGGGCATGGAGATGAGAGACTGAGGAGTCCGAGATGATTCCTAGGTTGAGATCTTGAAGGACTGGGAGAATAGTGGGAACATTTGTAAGTTCTGCATTTAAATTTTGCAAGAGGGGAAAATTTGGGAGGGAAAATAATGAGTTCAGTTTTGGACATGTTGAGCTTAAGATATCTATAAGGCACCTGGTGCAGGATGTCCAATACACTGTGTTTAAACAATACAGTGTCACAGCAATAGACATTAATTTGAGTCATAAAAACACTACCAATAACTTTCATGTTTTAATAGAGCAATAAATTATGCACACAGTAGCATTTAGAACTTTTAAGAGATATAGCCTATCAATAAATTTAGCAATCACATAACAATATTTTCATGCTAATATCAGGTAGAGATGGAGCCAAGCTAGTTTAGATGAGATCATTACACCCTCACAAAATAAAAATAAAATAAATTAAAAGTACATAAGAAACAATTCCAAGATACTACCAGAAAGAAAAAAAAATTTGGGCTTCAAAAGAAAATCTACTCACTAGGAAAAGGAAGGAAAAAATTCAAACAAAATGTCTTTCAGAATGAGAATGCAAAAATCCCCCCTTAAACATCTGACACTTTTCTTCACTCAGTTTCCTCCCACTCAAATGGCTAGTTTGAGGCAACATCTGGTCACAGGCAAAGCAAAGGTTAACAGGATTCACCATCCCTTAAAAAAAAAAATTAAAAAAAGACTGACAGATATCTTTCCTTCAAAGTTGCCTCAGAGAGCAAAGAATGAAGAAAAGGACCCATATGTTAAACAATATTTATAGCAACTCTTTTTGTGGAGTCAAAAGGGTACCATGCTTAAGAAGAACTTTTAAAGCATCCATGAATGGGAGAAAAAAACTTCCAGTAATCAAGAGCTGTGTCTTACCTCTTTGCCACATATGTCCTTTAAGCTGTCTGACTTCAGAGCTCTAGACTCTGAACTGATTTGTGGGAAAGTATGTGTCACAGGCCTTTGGGGAAGATGTTATGTAAATCCCTTTTCAAAAAGCTATTTAAATCTGGTTGACTAAAATGATTCTCAATTTATAACCCTAAGTGGAAAACACAGGTGGGGGCTCAAGCCAACGGCATTTGAAAACCACTCCCAAATCTATACCAAACAACACAAAACCATTACAAAAATATTTATAACAGCTCTTTTTGTGGTGCTAAAGAACCTTGGAAACTAAAGGGGTATCCATCAGTTCAGGAATGGATAAACAAATTAGTGTGTGTAGATTTAATGGAATACTAGTATGCTATAAGAAGTTATGAAGGGGACGGTAGCCAGAGAAGACTTTCAAAAATTAATGCAAAATGAAATGACAAAAGCAAGAATAATTTATATAAAAATATTGCAAAGACAAACTACTTAGAAAGACTTAAGAACTCTGACTGACACAATGACCTACCACAATTCCACAGGACTTATGAAAAAGTTCGCCACCTTCTGGCAGGGGTGTAATGGACTCAAGATGTAGAATGAGATCTTTTTCCTGAACATGGCCAATGCAGGAATTTGTTTTGCTTGACTATGCATATTTACTAAAAGGATTTTTCCTTTCCTTTTTTTTTTCGTAATGGGAAGGAAGAGGCAGGAAGGAGAGAAAATACATTTTTGTTCATTTAAAAGAATAACATTTAATTTAAAAAACCCACAAAGTAGCTCTCAGAAAGCAGGTGGGAGACAAAATGTAACTATAACCCCAACCTTTTTTTGGAGAAAATTTTTCTATTTAATCTCACTCTAGGCCAGTTTGAACAAACCTTGGTACCTAGAACAATAGGCCTTTTAGGAATGAAGCTTTGAGTTCCTTCAGTACTGACAGCCTGAGGTGTAAATGCTCACAATGAAAATGTAATAATTAGAGACAGCTAGGTAGGGCAGTGGAGTCAGGAGGACCTGAGTTCAAATCCAGACTCAGGACACTTGACACTAGCTGTGTGACCCTGGGCAAGTCACTTAACCCTGATTGCCTCACCCCAAAAAAAAAAAAGCAATGACCAGCTCTGGTTATCGGGTTTGGGGGTTCTGGAACACCCCTGCACAGAAGTGTATGTATACCTTGATGTCATCATTGCCTTTGTTAAGGCGCTGGAGGAGTATGAGAGACGGATTAATGCATCCTGTTGGCTGGAGGAGGCTGGTGTGAAGTAGCCAACTGACATGTGCCAATTTTCCAGAGCTTCTGAGAAATAAATATCCGGTCCATATCCCAACAAGGTGTGAGCACTCACCCAGAGGGGGGAGAAACCTTTCTAATTTATGTATGTTCATAAAATCTTAGAGACTTTTGTTTTCTGGGATTTGGTGGTTATTATATCATTTTTTCAGTGAAATGTTTTATCCCTCCGGGTGGAAGGCTGCTCCTTGAGGTCAGGGATCACTGTATCCACCATACCTAGCACGTAGTAGTAGACACACTTGACATTTATACCATGAAGTTTGCACATTACCAATATTTCATTTGATTCTCAGGACAGCTCTTTGCAGTGGAGACACTTATCACCATTTTACAAAAGAGGAAACTGAGAATGAGCAACGAAGTTACTTTTCCAAGGTTAGTTACACAATAGGAAATACGAGGCAGGCTTCAAACCTAGGTCTTCTGCCTTTAACCCTGGAATATTATCCAGTTTCCGCGCTACCTTTCCATTAACAAGCCCTTCTTGAATTTGAGCTCCTCCTAACTCTGCCCCCCTTCATTTTGTTGGTGCTCTAGTTTCTAAAAGCCAGTCCCTTTAGAAACAGGAACGAAGCGGAAACAGTTACATTGTAGCATTTTGAGGTTGGCCTGAAACAGAACTTGTGAGCCTCGAGGTTGGAGGGGGGCGGCACTGTGAGAGTACACGGAAACCCGGGGCTTCGGGCTCCCTCCTCCCAGGAAGGAGAGTGGCTGCGGCGTTCAGTGCTAGGGCTCCGGCGTCCCAACTAGAACTCCAGCCGGGGGGAGGGGGGCTTGGTTTCGAAAGCCCAGCGTCCGCAGCTGGCCACCGCCAGCCGAGGAGACAGCAAGGCACTCCGCTAGTTCCCTAACCTCATCGCCCGCTGGAGCCGCGCCAAGCCTACCGTGGGAGCCGGAGCACTGGAAAGGAAATTCAAAAGCCGGTGACCTTCTGGACCCTACGGGTCGGAGGCGGGCTCTTCGGGGGAGGACCTCCGCCTTTTCTTAAAGCGCCCCTTACACGAATCTCTCAAACTTCCAAAGGGGAGGGAAGAGGGCGAGCTCGGCTTCGGAACCGAAAGGATTAAAGGAGTATCGCCCTGGGAGAGAGAAGAAGCCAGGGTCAGAGCTGGGCAGGGCGTGAGCCAGGTTGGTGCTTTGCAGTGGTGGAGTCGAGGCTGGGAGGGCATGTAGGGGGCCACGTGTGGGAGTTTCTTTGCCTTGGGTCAAGGGTGGAGGGGCACTCTGCAAGTGATTGCTGCTTTTTAAGTTCCAGTCTTGACTTGTCGCCATGTGCTCTAGGCTAGGTCTCTATGTTGGTATGACTCGTGGCTTCCTGCGGAGAAATAGTCCTCAAAACAGTGAGTCTGGAGTCTGAAACAGTATGCATATGTACACGAGAGTGTATATGAACACGTGTATACTTGTACGCATACACATATGTACACGAACTTAGATATGTATATTGAATAATCTGGTTTGGGCCTGCTCTGGATATTAATAGGAATCACTCGCTTACATTTTTTGTAGCTTTACAGTTTATAAAGTGTTTTCTTCAGAAAGCTTTGAGGTAGGCAGTGCCAGTTCAGCTAACCCAAGGTCACAGGAAGTAGCCGATTCTGGACCTCAAGTAAGATCTGCCATTAGATAAACTCTCTCCGGTCTTATCTCTTTGAGCCCCAGGCTCCAAAAGGTTAAATGACTGTCCCTGAGTGACATAGCATTTGTCTGAGTTATTCACTACACCCAGGTCTAACGGAATTGAAATCCAGCACAAGAGATGGGGACTTGGAGTCAGGAAGAATTGGGTTCTAATTCCATCTTTAGCATGTACTGTATGACCTTGGCTCACCTAGCACAGATGGAGAGTTTTTCAACTTCTTCAGGAGGTTTCAAATCCAGGCTCATTTTATAGAGGAGGAAACAGGCTCAGTGAAGTTGGTTACCTTGTTCAAGGTCACACAGGTAGTAAGTACCAGAGGTGACATTTAAAGCCAGGGCCTTGGACTTCAAAAAGTAGCTTAATCTCCCCCATTTTACCTGTAAAATTGAGGATGAAAATAGTACCTACTTCCTTGAGTGATCTAATGAGGTAATGTAAGGAAGATGTTTTGCAAGCATGGAAGGGCTATATAAATGTTCATTATTATCATTGACTGATTGCAGTTTGGGGTGGGTCACTTGCCCTTTCTGAACTTCAGTTTCTCCATCTGTAAAATGAAGGAACTGGACTTAATATAGTACCCTGAGCCTTTATTAAGAGCCTGCCAGGGGGCAGCCAGGGGACAGGTAGGTGGGGAAGTGGATAGAACACCAACGTTGGAGTCAAGAGGACCCGAGTTCAAATCCAGCCTCAAATACTTACTATCCCCCTGACCCCTAGGCAAGTTACTTAACCCCGATTTCCTAAAAAAAAAAAAAGCCTGCCAGGCTTCTAATAGGAATCAAGGATAGGCTGGGCTTGAGATAGGTACCAGAGTTGTGATTTCGCTTGTGTAGTGCATCTCCCAGATGTGACAATAGCCTCCACCAGTGCTGTAGGGACATAAAATTCAGCTGTGATTAGGGATAAGGGACTGGACCTGTCATTTCTTGGGCATAGGGTCCTCCCGAAGGAGGAAGTTTCCTCTCCCTGCAGGTTCTTAGAAAAGACAGGGCTGGGGATGCAAAACCAGAAATGAAACCAGAAAGGAAGCTGAGGCTTCCCAGAAAATCCATCAAGCCTCTTCCAGTTTTGAATTCCGTGATCCTCTGACTTTATTGAAAGGCCCTTTCCTCTGGGACCTCAGTTTCCCTGTACGTGAAGAGAGGAGGTTGCCCCCCCACACCCCAGACCTCCACTAAGGTCCCTTCCAACACTAAGTGCCATACCTCTATCGCTGCTCCGCTCCGGAAAGGACTTTCTTCTCCGGGCTTTCAGGCACGCCAGCTGGTGCCCCGCCCCTTCAGGGGGGCCGCCGGGGTTCTCGGGTCCATCTCCAGGAGCTCCTTCCTGCACCGCCCCCCTACCTCCGTCGGTGGTGGCGAAGACCCGGCGCGGAACATGCGGGGGCGGGGTGGCGCATGCGCCATGCGTGCCGCGGCCTCCGTTCCCTGGTTGGCTCCGCAGCGCAGCGGCAGCGGCGGGTCCGTATCCGGAGGTTCCGCTGCGGGCTCCGGGCTCCGGGCGAGACTCGGGCCGGGCTCGGCGGCTTCCGCGCGGCCAGGTGAGCGTGGGGCGGAAGGAAGGAGGGAAGGTCAGGGGCTGCTGCGGGCGGGCCCCGTGCCTCGGACCCTGGGCCGGGCCCCCCTCGGGCCTGGGTCTCCGGGCCCCGGGCCCGCCGCGCGGACGAGCCTGGCAGCCCCGCGGCGCCCTGGGGACTCCGAGGCCGAGCTCGCGGGGCCGCCCAAGGTCACGGCCCGACGGGGGGCGCCCTGCCCCGGGCGCTCGAGGCCTCGTGGGCCCCATTCTACGGCGGGGGAAACTGAGGCCCCCAGGCCCGCCGGGCCCGCCCTGGGCCCCAGAGAGGCCATCGAGGCCGGCCCTCCCATGGTACTGCTAGGGAAACTGAGGAACAGGCGGGAAGGCGACAAGGCCAGGGTCACCCCGCTCAGGAATGGCCTTCCTGATCGCACGAGGTCGTATTTGCAGAGCACTTAGGCACACAGTAGGTGCTTACTAAGTGTTCGTCCCTGGGCCTCTAAGGTATAAGAAAGATGAGCAAGAAGGGGCGCCTCGAACCCCCGGTGGCCGAAGGCCCCCTCCCCTGGGAGGGGGCGCTGGAGACCCTCCCACCCCATCTGCCCTGGAACCTGGTGCTTTCTTATCCCTCAGGATTTCTTTGGCACACGCTGGCCCTGGTTCCCTATCAGTAATAATCATAATAATATTAGCTGATGCATAGTTAGATTTAGGGCCTTGACTGGATCCTGATTGACTCTTGTGACAACCTTGTGGGACAAGAAGACTCCAGGTATGAATTATTCTAAGGCCCTAAGTTACAGAGTGGGAGAGGGGCTTTCCTCACTTGGGACCTCCCCCCTCCTTGCTAAATAAATCACTGGTCCAGGCTCCCTCCAAAATTATGTCCCTATTTTATAGATGAGGAAACTGAAGCATAGAGAAGGAAAGGGACTTGCCTAGGATATCCTCACTAGTAAGTGCTGGGTCTCTCTGCTATGCTAACCTTCCTTTCTTCATCAGTAGAATGGGGAGAATACTAAGGCCTCCTTGACAGGGTTGTCCTAAGGACCAGTGTTTATTAAGCTCGTGGGCTGGGCTGGGCGCTGGGTCTGTGAAGCTTTCCTTGCCCTCCAGGAGCTGACCTTCATTTGGAGGAGATGTTGTGTGCACAGAGATGTGTGCAAAACAGAAGATAGATACAAGGTGGTTATGGGGGGCGGGGGGGGGGGAGGCAGCCGGAAGGGTGAGAAAAGCTTCCTAGAGAACTTAGATGAGCCTGGGAGGTGAAGGGACTGGGCAGGGTGGGAGGTCCCTGGCATGAGGCACAGTTACTCTAGAGGAGGAGTGGTAGTGTGTGTGTTTGTGTCTGTGTGTATCTGTGTGTGTGTCTGTGTGTACATGTACATGTGCACACACACATGCATGTGCAGGTTCATGCCCGTCTTTCACTTTGCTCTCCATGGGAGTCGTGGTTAGGATTCATCAATGCTCCTGGAATGAATAGGGGAGGTGGCTCTCTCCTGCCCTCTGGGGTGGAAATAAAATCAGGGAGTTTTCACAGGGTGACTTCAGCTTCAGAATAGGCCTGAGGCTTTCCTGAGCAGCGGACCCCCCACCCCACTCCCACCCACATCCCCTGCTGTACCTCTGTCTGAAGACAGGACGATCAGAGGTGGACGGCTTTTGTGAAGGGGACCATATCCATAGAAGTTTTGCACTAGAGTCTCCTTTGCCCCACCCCACCCCCAGATACCCCCACAGGACCCTCAAGGCAGGGAGGGATCCCCAGAAAGGGACTCACTCCACCACCTCCCCACCCTCAGAACCTGGCAGTCCACCTCTCCTGTGACAGTCAGACAGCTTGAGGCACACAGTAGGTCTGCTCTTGGCAGAACATTATTTCACTGCATTTTTACAGACCAAATTGGGGAGGTGGCTTCCAGAGGTCACCTAGCTCAATCCAGGACTGGAGTCCTGATCCTTCCTCTGACCCCCAAAGGACACTTACTGTGGAGAGAGGGCCCCTTAAAAGGATTTGTTCTGTAAAACTTGGACTCAGTCAAAAAGCCGCACCTGAGTACCTAGAAGGCCATATGTGGCCTCAAGGCCCCAGGTTCCCCACCTCTGGACTAGGCACTATGGAAGAGTCTCATCTTTAGGTTATGAACCAGCTGTAATGGATGGCCCACTGTGGAGTCCCAGGACCAGGTGTCAGTCATGGCTCTGCTTCATCCCTAGGTGACCCTGGCATACTTATAAGCCTCAGCGATCTCACCTGTAGAGAGGTGGGCTCCTGGCCTTGGAGCTCCTTCCCCTGGTAGGGTCCTGTGGCTAAGCATAGGCATCATCCAGGCCGAGCTCCTTTGACAGAGGGAGGAGCAACCTCAGCCCTGCAATCGGGAGCATTGGCTCACCCGAGGTCATGGCGGTCATGGCCCATCAGTGCAGGAGCAGGGGCTAACACAGGGCTTTCCTTGCTCCCTGTCGGCTGAGGCCTGGAGCCCAGAACGAGATGGGCCTTGGGGTGGCAGGTGTCCAAGGTAGACCTAGAGAGGGCCGTGGAGGACGTCCAGCCTGTGCTGCCCTGCCAGGCATCTCCTCAACACACTGCCTCCACCTCCACCCTGGCCCTGAGGAAGCTTGTGTCTCTCATGCCCTGTCTTCTCTGGGAGAATAGGGGCTGTGCTGGTGTTCACACTCACCCCCTATTCTTAGCACAGGAAGTACTAGGGTGAATGTTCTATCACATTGTGCAATTGGAGAACCGGCCCTACCAGTGTCTCATGCCAGGCAGCATGAGGAAGAGCTGTCTCTCGAGCCCTGTGTCCTCCTACCACAGTGTAGATGTGGGCAGGCTTTGGCTTCGGGTACAGTGATCCCTCTCCCCACTGAACTGCCAGCTTCTCAGAGACAGGAACCAGCTGAGCCCCCTCTTTGTATCTCCAAGGACCTAGATCTTTGCCTTGATTTAGGATGTCAGACTTGG